GGAATATTAAAGGCAGAGAATGGGACCCAGATGTTTCTCAATGAAACACCTGTTGGTTTAAGATACATCCCATGATTTGGGAGTTTATAGGGATCATTAGGAACCAGAGCAGATGAAGCAGTGTGAGGTAAGAAAAAGGGGCTTGAAGATCTTGTCCCTGACTAACATTACTGCTCCAGGCCCTATTTTTTCTCATATTTATTGAGGTGTCACCAACAGGTGGTCTTTGAGGTCTTTAGTTAAGGCAATGGATTCTGAAGCCAGACTGCCTGGGTCAGAATCCTTGCTGTCCTGCTTACTAGCTCTATGAGAATCTCAGCCTTAAGTTTTTTCCTCTTTAAAAATGAGGATAATAATAGAACTCACCTCATGTGTTGAAAATTAAATGACTTACTCCAGTTACCTTAAAACAATTTGTAGCATGTAATTAAGTGCTATGTATATTATTTTACGAGTGCATGCATAGTTGCTCAGTTGTGCCCAGCTCTTTGAGACCGTTTGGACTGTAGCCTAACCAGGCTCCTCTGTCCATGGGATTTTCCAGGCAAGAATACTAGAGTGGGTTGCCATTTCCTCCTCCAAGGGGTCTTCCTGACCCAGGGATTGAACCCACGTCTCCTGCATTGCAGGCAAATTCTTTACCCACTGAACCATTGAGGAAGCCCATTATTATTTGATATGTATTATATATTAGTCTGTGGATATGTTGGCAAATAAATCATCACCACCATTATCACTTCTATTTTTGTAGTGCATGGAATTTTCTTTTCTTTACCTTGCCTGCCAGGTGAACTCCCATTTGTTTTAAGAGATGTATCTCAAATGTCATCTCTTCTTTCAAGCCTGTGACTATTCCAGAGAAAATTTGTTCCCGTGTCTGTGCAAACATGTATATTTTGTATCTATCTCTTACAGCATTGGTCACATCGTTACATTATTTTTTTGTAGATGTCACTCTTGCTTACTATTCCATGAATTCCTGTACCTAGTACACTGCCTGTCTCATTAGTAGATGCTCAAGAAATGTCAGATGAGTGAATGGCAGTACAGAAATAAGATTTAACTTCTAGTTCATCTATTTTCCATTATTTTTCCTGAAATCCAACAGTATTAGAAAATGAATCTGAAGCTTGAGATAAAGACAGTAATCAAGCTTCTGGGAAATTTATTTATTCAATATGTATTTATTGAGGTTCTACTGTGTTCTGAGCACTGAGCTTAGGGCCCGAATGTTCAGTGAGTAAAACTTCAAAAGGGGGCATTATTAATAGTTACTTGGAGTGACAGTTACATAATCATGATTGCCCTAAACAAGTGGGATATATGATCACTCTTATTATAGGAAATGTATACTGTAAAGAGGAAGGTTGTCCAGAAATAACCCTCGGAGTTCAATCTAGGTTGCCTGGACAACCCGTTATCTGGGAAAAGAGAGTCTCTTGCACTTACATGAAGCACTTCTGTATTTCACACAAGCTCAGTTCCCTCAGAAAGACTAGAGACCTCCAAGAAAATTAGAGATATCAAAGGAATGTTTCATGCAGAGAAGGGCACAATAAAGGACAGAAATGGTATGAACCTAAGAGAAGCAGAAGATATTAAGAGGTGGCAAGAATACACAGAAGAACTTTATAAAAAGATCTTCATAACCCAGATTACCACAATGGCGTGGTCACTCACTTAGAGCCAGACATCCTGGAATGTGAAGTCAAGTGGACCTTACAAAGCATCTCTGAACAAAGCTAGTGGAAGTGATGGAATTCCAGTTGAGCTATTTCAAATCCTAAAAGGTGATGCTGTGAAAGTGCTGCACTCAATATGCAAGCAAATTTGGAAAACTCAGCAGTGGCCACAGGACTGGAAAAGGTCAGTTTTCATTCCAATCCCAAAGAAAGGCAATTCCAAATAATGCTCAAACTACTGTACAATTGCACTCATCTCACATGCTACTAAAGTAATGCTCAAAATTCTCCAAGCCAGGCTTCAACAGTATGTGAACTTTCAGATGTTCATGCTAGATTTTGAAAAAGGCAGAGGATCCAGAGATCAAATTGCCAACATCTGTTGGATCATCAAAAAAGCAAGAGAGTTCCAGAAAAATATCTTCTACTGCTTTATTGACTATGCCAAAGCCTTGTGTGGATCACAACAAACTAGAAAATTCATCAAGAGATGGGAATACCACACCACCTGACCTGCCTCCTGAGAAATCTGTATGTAGGCCAGGAAGCAACAGTTAGAACTGGACATGGAACAAGACTGATTCCAAGTTGGGAAAGGAGTATGTCAAGGCTGTATGCTGTCACCCTGCTTGTTTAACTTATATGCAGAGTACATCATGTGAAATGCCAGGCTGTACGAAGTACAAGCTGAAATCAAGATTGATGGGAGAAATATCAATAACCTCAGATATGCAGATGATACCACGCTTTTGGCAGAAAGCAAAGAAGAAGTAAAGAGCCTCTTGATGCAAGGGAAAGAGGAGAGTGAAAAAGTTGGCTTAAAACTCAACATTCAGAAAATTAAGTTCATGTCATCTGGTCCCATCACTTCCTGGCTAATAGATGGGGAAACAATGGAAACAGTGAGAGACTTTATTTTTGGGGGCTCCAAAATCACTGCAGATAATGACTGCAGCCATAAAATCTTTTAACACTTGCTCCTTGAAAGAAAAGTTATGACCAACCTAGACAGCATATTAAGAAGCAGAGACATTACTTTGGCAACAAAGCTAGTCAAAGCTGTGGATTTTCCAGTAATCATGTATGGATGTGAGAGTTGGACTGTAAAGAAAGCTGAGCACTGAAGAATTGATGTTTTTGAACTGTGGTGTTGGAGAAGACTCTTGAGAGTCCCTTGGACTGCAGGGAGATCCAACCAGCCAATCCTAAAGGAAATCAGTCCTGAATATTCATTGGAAGGACTGACACTGAAGCTGAAACTCCAATACTTTGGCCACCTGATGAGAAGAACTGACTCATCTGAAAAGACCCTGATGGGGGGAAAGATTGAAGCGGGAGGAGAAGGGGATGACAGAGGATGAGATGGTTGGATGGCATCACCAACTCGATGGACGTGAGTTTGAGTAAGCCCTGGCAGTTGGTGATGGACAGGGAATCCTGGCATGCTGCAGTCCATGGGGTCGCAAAGAGTCAGACACAACTGAGCGACTGAACTGAAGTAGACTTATTACTGGACACTGCATTCTACAGGTCAGGACTTTAAAGCCCTGCAAGGCTGCAGATAAGTGCAGACCACTTATCATTTTATATGTATTGCTGATCTCTCTGCTGTGTACACTCAACTCTGCTGATTTCCTTTTGTGTTCTTCAGATTAGTGAACTTTGGTATAAATGGATATTGTCTAAGATTTGTCTTGATGTCAGTCTGAGTGTACTGCTATCATTTATCCACACAGTTGTCATGCAGAGTAGTATCAGAAGTAGGAATGATTGCAGAGACTTGGACCATGATGTCTTAGTCCTTGGGGAGAAAGTGCCAAGAATAATGAAGGGGTGGAAGATGATCTGAGAATGCCTTGTTGGTCTGCTGACCTGTATTCTCTCAGCTGATTCTCTTCAGGGTCTCCCAGCTGAAAAAATCTCAGGTAATGGTCTGGAGGTACCCTCTACACACAGCTCTCTCTCTGGGAGTGGTATCATATTCTAGTGCCCTCTGTTCCTGCCCTGGGGTCCTAAACTATCTGTTTATAGTTTCCCTAATACTCTGTCTTCATTTAAAAAATAATCCCTTTTTAAAACTCTTCTGGAATGACCTAGTCTGTGCAAATTATTTTTGCCAGTGCCCTGACTTACCTTACTTACTTTGGTCTTTTATTGAAAAGAATGGTTGAGAGCAAGTGTGTGATCTCAGTATTCTTTCTAGGTATCTGCAGCCTGGGTTGCCACAATATCACAGCTCTAGTATTGATTTCTCCAACAAACTTCAGGCTTAATAGAATGGAAATACATGTGGTTACTTGGTAGACCATGGTCAATGTACATTTTGGAAGCAGCCTTTACTAATGATGTGGTTTTAGTTATAGTATGATGGTTCTACTATTTATGTTAAGAAATGAGAATAGTTATAACTGTGGGCTCGTAATTCATATCACTGGTACCTGATGGAATGATGGCAGTGATAATGATGATATTCAACAAAGTCATTTGAGAAATTGAACTCTGGTCACCAGCTAATGAGATATACATGGAAGCACACTGTCCTGGGAAATTTGTAAGGCACTGTTTTGGTTCACAGAGAGTGTCTGTATGTTTTTTTGGTCAGCCTGAATTATTACTGACATGTCAATACAGTGGTCAGGCCCTCTGAAAAAAATCCATCCTTTGAGCAGCTTGTATTCATTATTGTTATCATTTAAATATTCAGGTACTTAAGAATTTCTGATGCCATGACTCCCTAGAGATGAGCTTGTAGCCCCTTCATGTGAGGCATACTCTAAGAAAAGAAGGAAAGAGGCAGTAGGAGGCACTCCGTTTAATTCTGATCCAGGACCACTGACTCTGAATTTTTCCTATTTTATGAATGTAAACCTCCCTCCAGGATGATTGTGATAGTGCCGTATGGTGAAATTCTGATATTTCCCCCTTTTGTATGTGTCCCTGAGTCGTTCCTCGTGAGTGATTCTGTGTGACCCTTCTGGTGACCCACCTTTCCACTCTGAGTTTCCACTCCACTTTGCACTCAGAGCCCTACTACCTTTGAAATGGAGTCCAAATCCTCCATCTTCTTGGTGACTCATCTCTTCCTTCTCTGCGTGACACTGGACACTACTCTATTTGCATTTTGGCAAATAGCTTCTGAGTTTAGATCATAGATGGAATGTGACAAACCAAGTCGTCCTCTGAAGAGGACAGACTAACCTGAAAGAGCCAGAAGGTTTGCTGTGTTGTGTCTACAACAGACCAAACTGGGCAGAGATAAGAGAAGCAGCAGGTAGAAGTGATTAACAAGAGGAATTTCAAATCAGCAGGAGAATGTTTGTCAATGGAAAGAACAAAGGCCAGGTCTGCTGAACAGCTAACATGCTGAGACTCCGCAAGTGGGGGTTTCTGGTTCTGACCACTGTTCAGTTCATGCTGGGAATGCTGGGGAATGGTTTCATAGGGTGGGTCAATGGCAGCAGCTGGTTCAAGAGCAAGAGGATCTCTTTGTCTGATTTCATCATCACTAACCTGGCTGTCTCCAGGATTGTTTTGCTGTGGATTCTCTTGATTGATAGTGTTTTACTGGTGTTCTCTTCCAAACTACATGATGAAGGGATACTCATGCAAATTATTGATGTCTTCTGGACATTTACAAACCATCTGAGCATTTGGCTTGCCACCTGTCTCAATGTCTTCTACTGCCTGAAAGTGGCCAGTTTCTCCCATCCTACGTTCCTTTGGCTCAAGTGGAGAGTTTCCAGGGTAGTCGTATGGATGCTATTGAGTTCCCTGCTCTTATCATGTTGCAGCGCCATCTCTCTGATCCGGGAATTTAAGATGTATTCTGTTCTCGGTGGAATTGACGAAACTGGGAATATGACTGAGCTCTTTAGAAAGAAAGAAAAAGAATATAAACTGATCCATGTTCTTGGGACTCTGTGGAACCTCCCTCCCCTAGTCATATCTCTAACCTCCTACTTTCTGCTCATTCTCTCCCTTGGGAGGCACATGAGGCAGATGCATAAAAATTGTGCCAGCCCCAAAGATCCCAGTACCGAGGCCCACAGGAGGGCCATCAGAGTCATCCTCTCCTTCCTCTTTCTCTTCCTACTCTACTATCTTTCCTTTTCAGTTTTAACATCCAGTTATTTCCTACCAGCAACTAAGATGATTTCGATGATTGGAGAAGAAATTGCAATGTTATATCCTGTTGGTCACTCCTATGTTCTCATTCTGGGAAATAGCAAGCTGAAGCAGATGTTTGTGGCAATGCTCCGATGTGAGCCTGGTTGTCTGAAGCCTGGATCCAAGGGATCTGTTTATCGATAGAGCACCTTGGGGTGGGGGAGGGAACCTAGGAGTCCTTAGACCTAGGAATCCTTAGCCAGGATCACAGGGCTCTTCCTCACCCTCCTGTGGCACCAGTTCTGTAATTACTGCTTCATCCTGTCCCTCTCGGGGACACGTCTCACGGCCTCTCCTTGTATGGTTGCTTTGAAGAGGCGGAAATAGTCTGGAATATGTAGACATGGAGTTGTATTTTAATAGGTATCAACTCAACATCATGAGCTTATTACTAGCTTTAACTTCAAGTTTATATGACAGTGATGTAGTGAACTAGAGGGGAGAGAGCAAAAGCATTGTAGTCCCACAGGCTCGGGTTTGAATTCTGGTTCAGTCTGTTTTCCAACTTTTTTTGGCCTTAGGGGAGTTACTTTAATTACCTGTTTGATTCTGTCTTTCCCCATTTTAAAATGCAGACTGTGATACTGACTTCACAGGGTTTTAGAGATTCAGAAGACAATGTGTGCTGTCATTTCAGCACAGCTTATTGTGTCAGGATTATATCAGAATTAGAGGAGAAGGGGGTAGTTGGATGGCATCACTGACTCAATGGACATGAGTTTGAGAAAACTCAGGGAGATGGTGATGGACAAAGAAGCCTGGCGTGCTGCAGTCCATGGGGTCACAAAGAGTCAGACATGACTGAGTGACTGAACAAGAAGGAAATCTGCAGGAGGGGAAGCTGTTACTGTAACAGTGAAGTGTGCCGCAGCAGCAGTTACCAAAGGAGACCTGTTTCCAAAAATCCATTATGTACTGACAAGCAGAGAAATGCAAGTCAAGACCCTTGGATACTAGGTTCCAATCCTGTCTGCTGGTTAAGTCATTTTAATTTCAGTAGTCCTTTGCTTTCTTTTATCATTTTGCTAAAGCAAATTTTCAAGTAATTTGTAATTTTTTAGATTGGGCAAAATAGCCAAGCAGTTTTTTTTTTTTTTAGTTATCCAAGATGTATATCTGTTTTTAAAATGTCAGAGTTTTGTGAAAAATAAGCGGTTTTTCTAAATGTAATCACTTTTATTTTAATAAAATTATATAGGCTTTGATTTCCTTCCTGTCACTGAGCAGTGCTGACAAGTCAGTGAGAATATTATTGCTTGAGATCTCAAACTTGTAAACATATTTAGGACACATGGCAACTCTAAATCTGGATTTCTATCACTAACAGGGCTCTCAGGTATAAAGTTTTTTGGCTAAAAACGTAGACCAGATAGCCTGAGCTCAAATCCTGACTCAGACCTTAACAAACTGAGTGACCTTGGGGATGTTTCTTAACCTCTCTCTATTTCACTTTCCTCATATAGTCAAAGCTATGGTTTTTCCAGTAGTCATGTACAGATGTGAGAATTGAACTGTAAAGAAGGCTGAACGCTGAAGAATTGATGCTTTCGAACTGTGAATTGTGGTGCTGGAGAAGACTCTTGAGAGTCCCTTGGACTGCAAGAAGATCAAACCAGTCAATCCTAAAGGAAATCAACCTTGAATATTCATTGGAAGGACTGATGCTGAAGCTGAAGCTTCAGTACTTTGACCCACCTGATTTGAAGAGCTGACTCATTGGAGAAGATCCTGATGCTGGGAAATATTGAGGGCAGGAAGAGAAGGGGGTGACAGGATAAGATGTTTGAGTGGCATCACTGACTCAATGGATGAGTATGAGCAAATTCTGAAAGACAGTGAAGAACAGGGAAGCCTGGCGTGCTGCAGTCCCTGAGGTTGTGAAGAGTTGGACATGACTTAGCAACTGAAAAACAATAATTTATAAAATAGAAATAGTAATAGTATTTTCTTGATAGATTGTTGAAAGGAATGAGTGAATCAACATATGAAAACTAGAGCCACACATGGAGTAAGTCAATAAATACTGCTATTATTATTGTTTTTGGTCTTGTTTTGTGAAAGAGGTTACATTCTGACATAGCATGAAGAATTAACACATTTCTTAGCACTTTTGTCATACGTAGCCCAAAGTGAGTTTTCAGGTTGTTCTGATTTATACATTCATTTTCAATATAGAAATAAAATGTCTTTTGGTCTGTATTGTTTGCTTTCAAATTGATATTTGCCTCTTGGAGGTGCTAGGAAAATTCCTAATTCTGACATAAAGTTCTCTTTCAAAAAGGTATCTATGGAAACTTGAAATAATGATTTTTTTTCTTAATAAAAATTTTATTTGGAGGAAGAAGGGATTTTCCAAGACGGTGTAGACAAACAGAGAGAAACAAATGGGAAAAAAAAAGCTAAAAATATATAGAGAAAAATTGTCAGTGGAAATAATGATTTAATATTCATGCATAATTCACTAACATAGAAGGATTCTTAAAGGAGAACTTCTGTAATTAAAAAATCTGTGCTTCTTTTCAGCACAGGGAAGTTTAACTGTGGAAAAACTGCGGTCTCAATTGCTATGTGCTTTGTTCACCTTGAGCCCTACTCGGGTTTATCCTCTCCGACTCTTGAACACTTGTCCTTATTTCTTGTCATTTTGACAGCTTCTCCACCTAGCCCTGACTTTCTGGTTCTTTAGCCCTTACCGGAATTCCTGATCCTGCCTTCTGCCTTGGGTGTGGGGATTTTCTTCTCTTTTAATTGGACATAACATTTTATTAGAGATTCTGTCTTGGCTGTTGTTTCTTGGTGCCTTTGGCTAACTCCGGGATGTTTCCTCCTCCTTTTTCTACTGAGGTTTCATTAAATCCTACCCTGATCTAACAGATTCAGATGTGTGGGTCCAGTCAACTTGCTCAGGCTACCACTCATGTTCATTCCACTGGAACCTGGAGTATGGATGGAAACTGTAGAATTCCCCAATAGGGAATCTGTTGTCGTAGTCCAGTTGGCTGAGTGCAGAGTTTCCCTCCCTGAGAGCGAATGAAATCAGATTCTTAGGTGTGGCATTCCCAACCCCTCCCCCGTTTCCTTTTTCAGAGAAATCTGGAGGTGACTCCTGGGAAAGCTCAGACTTTGTTATGTGACTTCAACAATATATTGGCTGCCCTTAATCAAAGACGGGGGTGGGAGTCGGGACGTGAGTCTGAGTAGTGGGTGATGTGCTGAGGAAAGGAGTCTTACTTGTGGCTAGAGGCAACCTGAATGGAAGTTTAGCTCTTTTGGAGAGGATATCGTCTTCTGAACCCACCAGGGAAAATACTTAATCTGCCAGTTCCTGACAGTCCAAGGCCACAGGGGAGAATTACCTAACACCTCACTCCCATTTTTGAGAAACCCTGGAAGTGGCCATCTTGTTTGTCTTGTTTTCATTAAGCTAACTTCCGTTGCTAAATCCCTAAGACTCTTACATCTGGCCGTTTCACGCACAACAGACCAGAGCAGATCTTTTCCCCACTGTGACCAGGTTCTTAGGGTCAAAGTATGAGAACGAGAACTGTCCTTGCATTTGGAGTCCAGTTACAGGCTAGAGCTTGTTCCTGAGGCCACGTGTCTCCACCAAGCACATCTGTTCTTTGGTGTATGGTGGAGGGGCCTTAACACATGAGTCAACAGTAACTTATGAACAGTACCTCATGAAACCTTCCACCAGGTTTCCACCAGGGCCCCCTATACATCCTGTGTCTCAGGGAACTACTTCTCATTTTTGATACTCTCTGACCTCTCTGGCTTATCTTGTTTCTACTTCATTCTTTCATACTACACACATTTATTTAACATTCTGTCTGCACTTAACAGTGTACTAGATCAATCATTATTCTCAGAAGCATTGCATGTAGTGGGCAATAAAGATGCAGAAATGAGTATTCCATCTCTCCATCACTGAAACAGATGCTTCAGGTATGATGAAGGGATCCTGTCATTACCAGAGGGTTCTGGCCCAGGTGATCATTAGCTCTCTCTTTCTGACAGCTATTAAAATGTACTGCTACAGTATTGTAAAGTAATTAGCCTTCAATTAAAATAAATAAATTTAAAAAAAAAGTGCTGCTCGCTCCTCTTGCCCTGGGGAGCAAAGTTGACTGAGGTCTCCAGCTGCTGAGGCCACACTTCTGCAGACTGCTCCCAGCCAGTGATGGAGACCAGAGTACTAAGGTAGGTCTGCTCCACTGACATGAGACTCTTCCAGCAGGCAGTTTTGGCCCAAGGACTCTCTATCAGCTTGGGTGACCCTTTTTTGGAACTGTGCTGCAGTCTAGAGCTCTTCTTACCCAATTCTTTCTTCTCTCTCTCTTTATAGGTATCAGACCTCCATTGCTATCTGAATATTCACCTTCCTTTGCTTCCTGCCACCTAAAATCTCTTGCATGTCTAATCCTATTTCTGCCTGTGTTTCTTGTGTAAAAGATACAAGTGTTTTGTTTTTTCAAGTGAACTAGAATTTTGAAAATCACCCCAGATTCTTCCTTTTCCTTCAGTTTTGATATTCATTTGGTTATTAAATCTGTTTGGTTGTACTCTAAAAATTTTTCTCTCAAATACCTGCTAGTCTCTGTTTGTATTCTTTTCATTCCTTAAGAGTGACTGCAGCAGGATTTATTTATTTACTTATTTTAATATCTATTTATTTATTTAGCTTCACTGGGTCCTAGTTACAGTGTGTGGGATCTAGTTCCCTGACCAGGTATCGAGCCCAGGCCCGCTGCATTGGGAGCTCAGAGTCTTAGCCACTGGACCACCAGGGAAGCCCCTGCAGCATGATTTAACTAGTTTCCTTTTCCAGTTTCATCCTCTTCCAGCAAAGCATTTCCGCATTACTGGGTTGTGGGCTTCATACAGTGAATGCACAATCACAGTGCTCTTCTCTTAAAGTCCTGCAGTGACTCTCCATTGCTCATCCCAGTCTTTTGCTTGGATAACCCCTTTGCATCTTCAGTAGTTACTTTATATGTCTCCTTAAGAATGCCTTTTGTGAATCCTCAAAGCTGTGTAAAGGCCCCTCTGGAGCACTCCCAGTGTACCCTTTGTTTTTTCTTGTTATAGCACCTAATACATGATCTAATTGTCTATTTGTCTGTCTCTCCCACTATTCTGTATGCTCTTTGAAGGCAGGGCGTGCTGTGGGTGATTCTTCCCTGTTTCCTTAGCACATAATGTATAAGTGACTGGCTGATAATAACAATTTACTGAATGAATGAACCAATGAGGGGCTGCCTAGTATATTGGACAGAGCTCAGTCTCAGAAGACCTTCCAAATTAGCCACTGATTTTCTGTGACATTTGGCAGTCACTTACTCCCTTTGACCTAAATTTTCCTCATCTGGAAGTAGGAGTAACCAGATTTCTCTCCTAGAACTGTTTTAAAGATGAACTGAGATTTATAATGCCTAGGAACATAATAAACACTCAGAAAAGTCTAAGAAATATTAGTAGACATTTCTTCTAAGCAACACTGGTACTCTTTTGAAAATAATTCAAAGTTTTTAATTCCTGTTTATCTGTGCCTGATCTCATTCTTCAGTCTTCATCAAATAAACCAAGTCATCCTTTTGCTTTGACTGTTTGCCCCAAGACTTTTCCTCCAGATCTACTGAGTAGCA